TTTAAGAATTTCTGCATGCCATCTACGAGATTTAACTGATGATCTATAATCCGGAAAAAAATAGCTTTAATCTGGAATCGCCGAAGTCCCGACTCTTTTAAATTAACGACTTTTGACTGTATACTATATACATAGTATATACTAATGTTTAACTATATATTTTTCTTTGAATGACCCTTAACTACTCATCGCAATGTCCGGTTTTTTTTACTTATCATAAAGTTGCCAAAAGTAGCCAAATTCCGTGTGCACTGGATACTAGGATTAAACCATCTGCAACACTTTCCACATGTACCTTGGTTTGTTTTGGGATGGGGGGATGTTCCAGATTTTAGAAGATGTCTCAAATAATTAACTTTTCCTTTCTCTCTAAGGATTGTCTCGTAAAAGTTCAGCCACTTAGTTCATGTCAGCTTGATTGGGATAATCTGGTTTGGCTCTTAGTTCTTTAGGGATATTACAGTCAAAAAGTATAATCCGGACTCTCACTTCGGTTGGATTCCGGATTATAGATCATCAGTTAAATCTAGTAAATGCATACAGAAATTATAATTAAAAATATCAAACTGTAATTTATGAAATAAGAGCTTATGATCTAAAATTGTATCAAATTTACAAAAAAAAGGCTTAAATATTTTTTTTTACTTTATGAAAACATTTCTTTCAACGCGTGCTGCGTAAAGCATACATTCGCATAGACGAAATTAGAAAATTTGCAAACCGAAAACTATTTGATATTCGTGAATTTATAATGACGCATTTTTTCCTTGCGGTGCGCTATACGTTAATCGAATTTCAACAAAAAAAGTTGCATGCAGTGTATTTAGTCCTATAGGAGTATACAGGTAAAATTGCACTTTAGAAAGGAACAAAAATCTGCAAACATTACCTGAAAATAGATAATTAGATAATTTTAGCTTAAAACCGTCCGTTATTTAAACCCACATAAAACGTAAAAAAGCACATGTTGTAAAGATATTTATGCGTATCGTAAATGCGTTTACTCCATTCGCCCAGTTTGTCTTTGACGTCTGGATTATAGATCATTTCGGATTATGGACGTCCGGATTAAAGACTTTTGACCGTATTAAGAAATATATTTGTATGTTATCTTGTTGCCTGTTTATACATAAATGCATTTTCTGTATTTACTTGCTGTCTAAATAGAAACTAAAATTATTTTAATTCTGTATTTAGGTCTTGATAATATTCACATGTAGCCAACAACATCGCACCGAGTTCATTATGCAAGATGTATTTCAGTCTATGCATGCATATGTTGTGCAGGATGTTTATATAACTCCAGTCATATGATTGAAGTTTGACATTGTGATTATATGATTTTTTTGCTAGTGTGGTAGTGTATGCATTGCTAGCTTCATAAAATCTTCAAGCTAGATGTCAAGCAAACAACTTTTCTTTTTTGGTAATAAAATTAGAAAAAAAGAGTGATGATAATTTGACTTTACCTCATATGTTATATTAAAACCTTCCCATTTTATTAATTTGTTTTGAACATCCTTCTATTTTGTGTGTACTGGGATTAGTTGCTTTATTGTCACATTAATTAAAATTTACTTTTTCAAGTTGCTGAATCATGATTATGCAGAAGGAAAGGCAATTTCATTAACAGAAAATGATTTTGACCATTATGTTAGTAAGTTCATTTTAATTGGATTTAAGGAACTAAATTTTGATTTTTCTGTTTTAATATATATAATCAATGAGTTTCCTGTTTTAATAAATTTTCTTTTATAGAAACACACGAACTAGTATTCCTGAATTTCTATGCAGATTGGTGTAGATTTAGTCAAATTTTAGGACCTATCTTTGATGAAGCTGCTGATACAATAGCTAACGAAATCAATGTAAGGACTTTTAAAAAAAAATATTACAAAATTAATAATTTTAATGTTTTGTATACTTAATTTAAATATCCAAATTAAAACATTGATAATCTTGTGTGCTAGTATGTCAAGTGAAAGTTTGGAAAATTAAGTTTAAATTTGTTATGAATGAGATATGAAGTTATTAATATATGAATATTGTGAGCATTAATGTAGTTAAACTGCATAATTTAGTATTGCCATAAGATATACTGCAGTACATTGATTCTCAACAGGGGCAGTAAAAGGATGCTGAGGGGTGCTGAACTTATTTTGGGCAGTAGGGGGCAATGAGCATGTTTTGGCATTTGAACTTAAGTTTAAAACTTCCACAAAAATGTGTTAAATTGATTATCGAGCTTACACCATTTTGTACCAACAATAAAATAAACTTAGGCAACTGTTCTTAAGAATGGTGATATGAATTTATGTTCTATGTAGGATGACCTTGAAGAACTCGATGCTATGGTTTTTCTGCAATCCCAGTCAGCACAGTGCATGTGTCAGCTATTTTTGCGCGCATTAATCGTAGTGCATGCGTTGAGCGTTTGGATATTTTGTCCCTGGAAGTTTCTCGATGGATCATGAACCCTTTTATAAATATTGAGAAAGTAGAGGTTTAGATTCGGGAGGAAGTAGGTGTACTTTCAACAAATGAAACTTTGAAAGCCGTGTTCTAGAATAGTGATCATCTTGTAGAATTTTGGCTTCAAAAGTAGCTTCAGTTGCCTCTACTCAGGATCGTGAACTATCGTCAAAAATTTTTTTTTGCCTTCCTTTCCTCCCAACTTTTTGAGTGAGGATGCAATGCTGTGACTGATCTAATTACAAAAAAGAGAGGTTGATTTCAAATCATGGAAAGAGAGGTCTTGCGCCTTCATCTCTCTAAAAATATTGAACCGAACGTTCAGAAACTGGCTCTGAAACATCAACCGCAAACATCCCACTGATGATACTTGATTTTTTCATTGATTTACTCATTTAGTATATTTCTTGCTGTTCTTTTTTTAATTATTTAAGAATAAAGAATTTTTTAAACATAAAAGAATGTTTAAGAATTTTTTGTATTAGTCATTTCGATTTTAACCAAAGGACTGTAATTAATTATCTTCCAGGGCAAAACTATCAAGTTAAACAAACAAATTTGGTCTGTAAGTCTACTGAAAAAAATTACATAAAATTTTTGTTTTATAATTCAGGAACCCCCCTTTCCCATACCTTAAATTACAAGATTTTTACATAGGGGGCGTTGAAAAATTTTTCGCTTGTTAGGGGGCGGCAGCTTTAAAAGCGTTGAGAATCTCTGCTGTAGTATCTAAAATTATTAGAACTGTAGTCCTAAAAGTACTGGCTGTTATTTTTCTAATTTCTTGAAATTATATATAAACTACATTACTACCTGTTAAAAAATCCACTGCTGGAAGCTGACCTTTAAAATGTTACAGTGGATCTAAAAATAGCAGCTATGCTAGTAATATTTCAGATAATGCTAACTTTATCTGATAATATTCTCAATGTAAATTTTAACACTGTTATTGAACCTTCTGGTGTTCTTTTTAATATTTGCACTAATGATAGTATGATTACTAATTTTAATGATGTTATTTTGGAAAACCTGATAAGAGAAAAATTTTAAGTAGTTGCAAAAATGATTGTTAGATAGGATTCATACAGTCCTGAAGTCCTTAGGTTTTTTTTCCTATCTAACAATCATTTTTGCAACTACTTAAAATTTTGGTCTTTAAAAAAAACCTTTGGACCTTAAAAGTCCTTAATTCCAATTAAAATTTACAAATGTTCCTTATTTTTCTTATCTGACATTTCCATCTCTTTTCTGTGACTGTCATTCATCTGGCAATAAACATTTTGGATGAATATACCAGGTGTCTCACTCAAAAGAGACCCCTTTAAAAGTGGGATAAAATTCTTATAGTAAAAGGAAACTAAACCAAATTTTTACATGACACATACCTATATGTTTGAAGAATGAAAATACATTAGAAGAGTTTAGAAGATTATTTATTTATGTAAAAAGTTAATCTGCTTCAGTACTACTGGAATTAGTGGAAACCATCTATAGTATTCCTGTGCAACAAAAAAAAAAAAAAAAAAAAAAAAAAAAAACTATGGCCTCCAGATTTTGAATTATGTCCAATGGGGCCTTTTTTTTATCGTTTTTAAATTAATAAATTTTTTATCGACCTTTTTTTATCGTTACCTTTATTAAATATCATGTTCTTCGCACTTAAACCATACATTTCAATTCAAGAGTAATATCACAAAATATTTAATAAGGGCATATCTTTAGAATTTCCAATACACAGTTTTACGAGATATTTTTATTTTTAAGAATTGGTTGTTTAGGAAGAAAGAAAAGTTGATGCTGAAGGAAGCACAATTCAGTTTAGTGAATGAAATAAATTTAGCTGATGGCAAAAATTCTTTTCGTTTCTTTCTATTACCATTCAACAATCTTTTCCTTTTTTTTTTTTTTTTTTTTTTTTTTTTTTTTTTTTTTTTTTCAAATGTCTACTTATAACTGATAAGTACACAAACAATCGTTATTCGAATATGGATGATGCAGCCTAATTAGAACTTTTGCCATCACCCAAATACAGTTGATGTGGTAGTTAACATGTTAATAGTTATTGAAAATTGACAAATTAAGATTTTCTTGTATATCTGAATGCATAATGTATTATTGTATAGAGTTATTCTCAACACTAAAATGATTAAAATATTAGTTTTTGCAATAAGTTTTTTTTTTTTTAAATCTGAAAACTTGAAGATAAAAAAAAATTAATTACATAAAGCAAAAGGAATTTTTTTTTTTTCAAATGGTATTGATAAAGCTAATAACAAATTGTGTACTTCTTAATTAAGGGGGCCACTAAGATTGAATCACAAATCAACTGAAATATCTTGTCGAAATCTCACCACATATTCTTATACCTTGCTACATGTTACATCTCAGTTTATTAGTTATTAAATGTTGGGTGCAGCTATAATAAGAAAGTACCCAAATAAGTGGATCTTTTACAATATGGTTCAGAAACCAGTGAGAACACTGATTTATGTAAAGGAGTAAATTAAGGTAAGGATATAAATAAGGAAAAATATCCAGAAAAATTTCAGGTAAACATGATATAAATATTTTGTAGTGTTATAGATGTTTTGCATCTATAACACTACAAAAACTACAGTTGTTTTAATATCAGTATTAAAATCTGTATAACAAATTAAATATGTAATTTTAAATTACAAAAGTTTATTTGATTTGTGATTTTGATAGTGGTGTTTTTAATGAGTATTTTTTAAAATAAAAGTGCTTTTTATAGTGACCATATAAATATTCTTTAAAATATGGTGGATTACTGTCAGGAAAAATTAAATTGATAATTATGGAACTCCTGCAACTAAGATTATGAAATGCACAAGATCTTCATTTTGTTATACCTGACATAGTTTCATATTGTAGAATAGCCCTCCCCTCAAAAGAAATGGGGTATAAAGTGAGGTAGGAAAAAAGTTAGTTTTAAATTCTTTAGAGATAAACTGAAAAAAAAAAAAAATTTTTTTTTTCTTTTCTTAAAGTTGTATTATCACTTCTGACTGAAATGCAAACATTACAGTGATTTTCTGTGCTGCACATTAGATTGTTCCATAGTTAATGAACAATGCCTTGAAACTTCAGGAGACTGCTAGGTGGTAGTTGCAATGATGCAAGGCAGCATCCTAATGCATTTGATACATATTCTATTGGATTTTAATATGAAAGGGTTCCATCTGCTGGATTCCTTCACTCTCAAAATGTGCCAGTACAGCAAGATAGACACAGGCATTATCACTCATTTAAGAGGAGGTTATTACTGCTCATATCATACGCCTAAGCATATTGACATAAGGATGAAGAATTTTATCTTTGTATATTTTAGCATTTATAATTACACTGTTGAAATTGTATAGGTCACTGTAGCCATTCAGAATGCCTGCCCATATCATGATTCTATCATCTTTGTTCTGATGCTTTTCATGGTTGCTTTCAGGCTTATTGCATTTATTTTGCTTCCTCCAGATTGTAACACATTAGGAACTGGACACATTTGGACCCTTAAATTTTTCTATTGATACACCTTCCCATTTAAAGAAATATGTATGAACTGGGTTAGATGTTTGTATAAATGAGTTCCAATCTCTTAAAAATATGCCAAAACCTCTCAAGGAAACAAATTTATATCCTATTATAGAGAGATCTTAGAACCTTATGTTCACCTTTTTTGGGGGTGCATTTGGTCCAGGATTTCTGTTAAAGGACAGCAATGCTCTTTCACATAGGGCACAACTGGTTGACAATTATCTGGAGATATTCACTGAATAGATTGGCCAGCTATATCTTTTTAACTCCTAGAACATGTCTGGGGTGCTTTTGGGAGGGTAATTTCATCTTGCCATCCCCCTCCGAGGACCATCCCGGATTTGAAAACTAACTGGCTGCAGAGTAGAATTAACTGCCAGAAGGACTCCTTGTCCAATATGCCATCACGTTGTGTGACCTGTCTGTGAGAGGGGAACATACCCCATATTAGATTCATCTTCAGTTTAGTAACACAACGTGGAATTTGGTCATCCTTGCATTGTAAGCTCTACTGATGATCATGCACAAGTAAAATTATTTCATACCATTTGGTGCATTTCTTTCTCTGTTATAAATGTAGTATATGCATACCAAATTTCATTAAAATTTATCCAGCTCTTTTTCAGAAATTTCACATAATGCTCAAATTTGCATAATTTAGTGGGCAAACCTATTTGACTTAGCATACATTGTTACTGGTTTCTGTAAACAGTATTTTGCACATTTGATCTCTTATATTATTATCTCTGGTACTGATAAATGTAATTTATTTATATTTACTGTTTTGGTAGCATTATGTTGTTGTTCTTGCATTTTGTGTGCTATCTTGGTGGCAACAATTTGTTCC